TTGTTCATGACAACAGTGGCCTTACCCTTATCCGCCTTTGTAATCACTATGTTGTCCACCTTTGTTAGGGTGTTTAAGGCTCTTCGCTCCGCTGGTGTAATATTTGGAATTCCTGGCTGCTGGGACTTGAGGACTGTGACTAGCTGTACCCCTAGCTTCTCCGCCTCAGTTGGTGGGAGTTTTTGGAAAACAGATTCAACTCCAGGGATTATTTCTTCCGATTTCAACAGATTCTGTTAGAATGGTTCCTCTTGGCTTTACAAAAATAAACAGAAAAATTAATGCAAGAATTTTCTGGTCTGAGGCTATCGCGGTCTCATCTGGTAAAGTGAATCGATCCATGCTTGTGATGAGAATATATGATGTTGACACTCCGGCAAACATTAGACTATCCTAGGGGACAAACTAAACATAATAATAAAACTAAGTATGGTGTCTCATTTGTCTTTACTCCATGTAAGCTTTGGTAATGGAGATTTCATGATCTCCAAAAAGTATAGTTACAAACATGGGCTAAAAACCATATATCTGTCTGCAAGGCTTGCGTGTTGCGCGAGTCAGCTTCATGGGTGCGTTTGAATGTGGTCTGTTCACACAGACCGCCGCTCGCACTACCAGTTTCGCCTTAGGTTCGTCCCATGGGCGAAATCGTATCGACCAGCGAATAAAGTAGCTGGCTAATTTGACCCCGTCATGAGTCGTCGATCACCGACTAGTGAGGTCAGGCGCGACGAGTGCGTTCGATAGGAACATATTTGCATGCACGAACGACACGGTACGAAGCCCGTAACTAAACTATCTATCTCGAAATGCTGATACGCATACGCTGTGTTGTCAACGGGTAAGGAATGGTAGAATGTAGTGCAACTTCCTAGGGGCCACTTGAGTGTTCATTGCGAACATTGCTTGAATTCGTATTGGGTTGAAAAAGCACATACCAGCAGAATACGAACTCCGCTGAGCGCATTCAGAGTTCTCACGGATGGTAATATTCTACTCATTGTGCCTTAGTATAGCGCCAGTGAAGACTTGCGATTGTCTGCAGGTGAACTAACGGTATTTACCACATTCCAAAATGCACGTGGAATCACGGGAAGCGTCGGTTCTGAAGAGTAATGCTTTGGCAAGTAAGGCTCCACTGTGCCTTAGTATAGCGCCAGTGAAGACTTGCGATTGTCTGCAGGTGAACTAACGGTATTTACCACATTCCAAAATGCACGTGGAATCACGGGAAGCGTCGGTTCTGAAGAGTAATGCTTTGGCAAGTAAGGCTCCATAGAGTGGTGTGAAGGGAATGTTTTTTTTTTCGATTACGAAGCGCATTCAACTGGACGACACGAACACACGTTTTAGTCGGCAAATCAATGGGTTCGCTGGCTTCCATTAGTGTCGTATTCAACTATTACACGGCTAGCTATAGGGCTCGCTATTCATCGAACTACCGCTGATCATTGATAAACAATCCATTAGTTCACCACCCTTATGCCAAGTAAACCTGATAAATTTAGCACCAAGTCTTACATGCTGGTCGACACAATCAAAACATGTGTTTAATGTACTCCCATACCTCGATGACTGTAAGAAAATTGTGACGTCTATAGTTGACGAAAGATACGTTACGTTTTGCGATTCCCAGGAAACATGAACCTGCGAAACTTGCAACTGGAAGAAAACCCCGAAATTTCACGGCTCTCTCCCCATAAGTAACGTTGAATTACCAACGGGCAGAGCAGTCAACTGAATGGTCTCGATGGGTTGTTCAGTGGTTTAACGCCTCGATTCTGTCGGTTTCAAAACGATTTTGGAGCTCTGACTTGCGTAGATACAAGAGCATGCCAAAACCAGTCAGTTCACGTTCATTGTTCCATTCTGATAAGACCGACTAAACAAAGGTGTTCTCATGGGAATACGGTGTTCTTTTCAGATGGTGCGCATCGCGCGCTTCATTTTGCCTTTGGACGACTGAGTTCATGCCCGTGTCTGAGAATTTAAGCAGAAATATGTATATCCCCGAAATGCGTTTTTCAGATATTTTCGGAATTCGTTTGAATGTATTGCTACGTTGTGGTATTCTCGATCTGACCGAATTGGCCAGATGGGAGTAGCTGGTATGCTTTTCTTCGTGTCCAACATTTTTATCCACAAATCTATGATAACTCCTTCTTTCCTTGGTGTTTTGCGCTGCGCTGTGAGCCACGCACAACACAATAGTGGTCCGATGAAAACCAATGGGTTGGTAAAATATACACTGTCTATCGAGCTGATCAGCAAGAATCAACGAGATTCCCACCCATATAAAACTGGTTGTTGATGAACGAGAGACTTAAGGATGTAGTGTGAAGTGGTAAGGTGATTGACGCCCATGATTCAGGCATAAATTGTGAGCAGGAAACCAAATAGGGTTGGAAGCACGCAGAAACGGAGCGTACGAGAATCATACTCATCACCATCATTAGCTGTAAGAACCGCGTACTTTTTGTACAACGTATGAAAAAAGTGAAGGTCAGAGGTTGATTTCACCACACCGAGACAGGGGATAGTTATTCCACAAAACGAAGACAAGAGTCATCGCAAACACGATCAGTTTTTGAGGTTTTTCGGAATGATTAGAATAAACTCTGTGGGAAACTTTGCTCCGGACAGGATTAATATGCAGCTCTATACATAGCTCTGTCGGAAAAAACTCAGTAGCTCCAAGGCGACTCGTAAGCTAGTGCATGATATGTTGTTCGTGATCCGGAATTGTAGTCTGTTTCCCGTTAGCAAGAGGGGGACGATGGAAAAGCTGTGTTCAAATGCGACAAGGACGCTGCTGTGGACGTTTCTACCTCTGTATTTGCCGGAAAAGTCAACCTGTCTGAATACTGGACCATGGTGAACGGTGACAAATAAAGAGTAGAAGGTAGCATCGTCATAGTAACATAATCGATGTGAGAACATCGACCGGAAGACAAAACAGAAAGTGCAATCACATGAAATAGCTAAGAAAAACTGGGTTGCTTGACTCCGGACACTAAGTTTTATGTCCTCAAAGGGCGCAACGCAACTACTCTCGTGGATGGCAGGCTTTTAGACGAGTTCAACAAATCCAACGAAATGCTCAACCTAGCTGTCTCTAGAACCCAGGGAATCAAAATGCTCCGGAATCGTTTGCTTACAAACCCTGTGTATGTCATAGGTGAACGATTCGATTTTTATTCACACCTACAAAGTGTCGATTAGTTAGTTGACGCAAAGCCATTACCTGGAGAAAGAGAAAGTAAAGGTGTCGGACAGAAACAAATGAGAAACAACAACAACAGTTAGAAAAACGTAATCACTGGACTTTACGTCGTACACCTTTAAGATGTAGGGGAGTATGAATGAACGCAAACAAAGCCCATCCGCGAAAACTAACAGAACACGTGAGCAGATCAGATCGACAAAGTGACCGGACAAAAGGATGCGTGAATACCAATTTCACATTACATAAGCTGGAGAAGAAACCAGAATGAACACGGTACATACTTGATCACCGCCATCAAAGCTTCCGGTTTCTATGGCAAACTTGAGCAGTTTCTCGTAGGTTTCCATACTCGGAACGAACACGAATACACCGGAATTGAAGCAGTCTGGCCAGCCCGGATCCGGAGCAGCGCTCAACTCTGGTCTTTCAAATAAATCATCAATATTTTGGAGGACCTGTGAACCACATCGAAGGAGAGGCGATAGTCAAATCGTGAAATGATGCAATCTGGATAAAAGTGACAATTGTTGTGAGGTCATTTGGAAAAACCTTCAATTGAGCAGGGTAGGCACAGAAATGTAGGCGGATTGTAGGAACTGAGGCTGGATAAATGCGACTGGTCATTCAAGTAGTGATAGAGTACCAATTCTTAAATAGTCATTAAGGGCACTCCACCTAATACTCAACTCCTGTTTGCGAATTTGCACAGCGCCTCGCATGGTAATGCGAAATGCCATCAGTTCTCCGCTCCTGTGCAATTTAGAACATTCACAATTTCAGTACATGTCACCCGAGGCAGCTGTTCATCGAATTGGTAACTGATTTCGATCTGTGCACAGTGAACTTCAGAAACATCATTTCGTATGGTAAAAGAATACATGAACCTTCTGCAGCCAGTCCAAACGAAGTGCAAAACTCAGCAGATTTTAGGGCATGCGTAGTTGTTCCCTATCGATCGATAGAGAACGGCTATCTTGTGTGCCCATCACCACACAGCCATGTTTCGTTCCATCAGTCTATACACAGCAACAAGGAGGTCGTTTAGGGTATGCACGGACTTTGCTAATATGAACCATATAAGCTTGAGTGGGTTTACAGTTGCATTGGCGTGCAGGACAGTCAGACAGGTGCCTAAGAAACGCAAACACCTCATTCACTAGGATTAGAATGTCTTAAAGGTAACCTTCTTCTGACTTGCCCTTCACAAAAATGTAAAGAGATTATCGTTGCAAGTGCTAATTTACGGATGAATCAATTCCCGGGGTGGCACAACTAAATGAAATTAATCTTCCACGTAAATGATAACCCAAACCATACAGGAACTCTCCATTGCAACTTTGTTTACTCCGAATCCCCGCCACCCGAAGCACATCCATGGGGACCGCCTAGATCACACGTTTTCCAATCCCTGCACATATTTCACACAATGTGACTCTCTACTCTACGTGCTTCATGTACACTCTGGTCCGCTAACGAGCCTCATCTCGACGTGTTCCGAAAGCGGAGAAGCTCACAGGATCTGCTCAACACTAAAATGCAAGCCGAGAGACATTTTTAGATTCGATGTGCTTGTGATCTAGTTACGTAGGGTCCACAGAAACTCCCATTCACACTGTCACACAGAAGTTGAAGTCGGCCGTGTGAACTGAAATCTAAATGGTTACGCACGATCACCTGGTGCGCTCAAGCGAGTGCCAAAGGCCCTAAATTGGTGAGGTTTGCCGTAACCAACAGCAACATCCCAGTCGACAGATTTCGTAATATTTCAGGCCAACAACTGATTAATATTAGACCCTCCCTAAGAATGGATGAGCCAGCGAAAATGATCAAATATTCCGGCAAATTACACTATTGTCCGACGCGTAATCATCTATTGGAGCTTTTTATGCCTCAAATTTCTGGGTTGATCTGTCAGGTTCACATTCAACCAACCCTCTAAATGAAAACATACTNAGAGCGGTTCAGTAATGGAACCCCTTTTACCTCATTCCGGCAGTGTTGCACGTTCTACTTCTATCTGATGCAGGACGGTTCTTGACATTTGGGTTCTCACTGTAACAGGAAAGGACTTTTAAGTCGGAACTCTGAAGCTAAATACGCCAGAAAATGGACTGAAACTTATTGCATTGAAGCCCTATAGGCGGTAGCGCAACAGAAATGAATCAACGATATTATATTAATGGGTCTCGAATTGAAAAAAGTAGGCATGCATCGGTTGCACTCCAAAATCACTGATGCACGTTTGAGTAGTGCTCTTTCAGTTAGGGCACGACTATTCAGATCAGTCTACGTGAGAGGACGGAATTCTGAACATGAGGTATGCTTTATTTAGAGTTCACCAGTAGTATACGCCTTCCATCGTACCAAAATTTGGTTTCAGGATAGTTGAAATTCGAGATGGACGGATGTTCTCGCACTTTGAACGACGTGGACGACTCACCCGAAGTATCAATTCAGATGCGTTAAGCGTGCGCAGGTGGAGCAACGGTAAAGCGCTTTTCCTGTATTTCGGGTGAGGACCACCAACGTACGAACGAATCACGAGTCCGGAACTTCTCATCTCCTTGATGCGTGAACATCATTATCATTGACAGCATGACATCACTGTTCAACAGTGGTGGTTCACTGTACAAGTGAAGATAGGACTGCCAAAACGAAAGCGATGCGTACCCAATATATTCGTGTCATTCTAGCATCCAACACAACGGCGGCTTCGCCAACCGTGATCCGCAAGCTGCCACTAAATATTTCCGATCGCATCATCCGCTGGGTTGTCCTTCCCCCGCTATCCGGTGTCTGACACCCGAACTATCGTTCCTATACTCCATACACCACGAGCGTCAGCGATTTCTTTCAGCCGGAGGGACAGAATTGCAGCACGTTCGCCATACACAAATTTTGTTGCTTTAAACCATAATCCAGCAAATCAGTATAGTCGGTGAGTGTGCGGACGCTCGAATAGGGCGCGCGCATGACCGTAACAAGCAGTTACCGCAGTTAGTACGGACCGACTAAATGACTAGACTCGACGGGCATGTCAGTAGTTATCGTTTTCTATGGACTATCAATTGACGGTGATGTATGCAACTAATACGGAACACATCAGCACTTAAAAGTGATGTTTTGGACTTGCATGGGATAGGATTTAACAGTAATCGTCTCTTCGGTTTTTCTAAACAATATCGAAGTCCGACCGGCGGATGAATATGCCTAGTCAGAATGGTCAGGAGTGATCGAATGAGAAACAGAGTCCTTTACTCTCTGTTCTGCATGTAAAACAGTGAGGCATGTAGCTGACTGAAGATTGCCGCCAAAAAGGATGAGGACAGGCAGACACCAGAAGATTTCACGCAATAAAAATGAAAATAAGCGCCTCATCTCATGTTACAGTTCTTTGAATGTTGAACATTTAGGACGTCCGTGTCAGGAAGAGCATATGAAGCTTAATTTAAGGAAGGTGCTAAAAATTACCAGTTTTTTTTTAGGTAGGTCTGTCCACTGGAAACTGTGCCTCTTCTGTATTTCATGGGATTTTATAATGAGTGTACCAATTAATCAATATGTATATATTCATGTACAGTATGTGGTAAGGTGAAAAACGTAATGAAATTCGTTAACTAGTATCTCCAGCTATGGTCAATTTTTCCAAAGAAAACGGAAGATTTCGTGAAAGCGAGGTTGCATAATGCAGACGACGCAAATCCGACACCAATCACGACCAATCCCAGATATACGTTGAGCAATCGTAACACCGTCGTAGTGCTCAATGTCATTTGGGAAACGCGTTTTCGGAAGGACTACTGTCATAATGCTCACTATAAAAAGGCTTCATCTTTTAGTGTGGATAAGCACAGGCAACACTTACCAAAGTGTCAGCATCCATGAAAACCGCCTTTGTGTATTGAACTAATCGCCAGCAGTGCAGTTTGGTGAAGGTAACTCCCAAATCTGGTCGCGCCAACAGAGCCAGATTCGCCGCATCTCCACTGTCCAATACATCCACAACTTCAACGTGATCGAACACAGAATGACATAAATTTCTAGAGCACAGAAAGGAGAATGGGATGTTTCGGTTGGAACAAAGCGTGAAAGCACTTACACCATATACGGGGATACGGACTTGGTCACAAGACACACAATCTGTTTGGTGGTTTTCACTTCACGCAATGATTGGGCCCAGACGAGCGCTCCGCACATGTACTCATCTGTGGTGGCGAGCGTAACGAATGCCTCAGTCACTGAGAAAATTGAAACAAAGACAACAAAACAAACAAACAGGAAGATAAAGTATGTCTCACGTAATAAGTCAGACACAAACCACAACTCATCGGCATCCCACAAAATAACCGGTGGCTAGTAAACATAGAACTTCCACGAAGCAGTTCAATCATTAAGTTGGAAATCGGAATGAAAAGCAGTCTTCATTAAGGGATATACGTACAGGCTATCCGTTGGGCGACAGATCATCCATCTGTGATCATTCATCTACCCACCGCATAACAATAAGTTTTCCGAACTAGTGATTTTTTTCTTGAGATTACCTCATCCTTCTTCCTCTATGAAGGGAGACAAATCTTAGTGAATACCAGTGTCAGTAGTCAGTAGGGCCTATAGTAACGGATACCAGGCTGTTCATATTTATCGTTGACCATCCAACCTACAGGAATCTCAAATGGTTCGACAGTTTAAGTTTCAAGTTAGGTTGCCAGAGTTTCTCAACAGGTGATATGTAAAGATCGGATCGGTAATCAGCTTGCAATTTCGTGGTATTATGTTGTCCCTGCTCGTGATAGAGTAAGAGAAAAATGGTATGGTCCGGGTTTTTTGCGAACTTTGTCCTTCTTATTGTTTACTCATCGTTCTTTTTGATATGCCCGGTTTGCCTGCATTACTGGTGTCGACACTCTGCATTAATCGAGCACTGCCGTGTCAAGATGTATGCGATCGAAGAGGGGAAAATTACGGATTTCATGTGGTGAGGCTAAACCTTAGAATCGACCATTCCCTTATCCTGAAATCTTGTTCTACAACGATTCAATCACATTTATTCCTTCAAAGGTCAAAGTAGCAATCTATAGCAGTAATTGTTCGAAATAACTATCCAATTTTACGTGCTGAAATTCGGCCACAACGTCAGAAACCGTTATTCTTAACACTATGGACGGATTATAGCACCAACACCAGTGTGTCGACAGTTTAGCAATGGTCTCTATGAACGTCCGTATATGATATGAAAGAACTGGCAGCTTTGTTAGACTGCTGAATCCTAGATAATACCGAAAACGTGGAGTTTTAATGCTAGAGGAAAACTGGGTGTTCAATACTATGGAGAGATGCAGTCATTCGGACGGTCACATGAAACAAAGAGTTATGTGAAGTTAGTGCTGAATACAAACATCCTATGCAGTACTAACTTTGAAGCAACCAAAGTTGTCTGGCCATATTGCGTACCCCAAATGCAGGCCAATCTCCAGCGAAGATACACAAAATCACCATCAACCATAGATGGCGTAGAGCAATCACTGGTTGTTCCTCCTCCTGGAACACCTATGAGGATCCTGATCATTTGACTGTCCGATGATCTTTTTCTTTGCACCTTTTGAGAGTGTGAAAAATACGCACACCTTGTCCAGCCACTGAGAAGACATCGGACCACACTGTGAAGCAAACTTGCTAAAACCACATACTGAGGTCTTTCTGAACAACCACATTCTAATTTGGAAAGCTTAACCTCCATGGTACCCTGTTTGTGAAACGGGGCTACCAACTACATCTCAGCCCTGGATTCACAACAACAACACAAAACGGCTCGACGCTCGAACACACACACACACACGCACACCAGCTTGACGAACATTCTAATTTGGAAAGCTTAACCTCCATGGTACCCTGTTTGTGAAACGGGGCTACCAACTACATCTCAGCCCTGGATTCACAACAACAACACAAAACGGCTCGACGCTCGAACACACACACACACACGCACACAAAACAGCTTGACGAAGTGTCAGACGTCAGGTGGAAAAGAGCATTTGCGTGAATTGAGAAGCTGCATGAATCCCGAAAGCTGATGGGATGGAACAAGAAGCTCTGGGAAGGCACGAAAACCCCTCCAAATGAAACGGGTCCAAAGAGGCCTCTGGTGAACGAAACCAGCGATGATAACATCGCTCTTTCAATAATATGGTCTGATCGAAGTAAGTGCGCTCGTCCACGATCATCCTAGGATTGGTGAGCAGTGAGCGAAATTAGCTGAAGTGACCTATGAGAACGGGTTATTTTGATACTTCGGCTGATCAGAACGGGTCTGACATATCGAAATCTCGCTGTGAATTACGTATCGCTCGCTACCGAATACACTCCATTGCTTCAGGAAAACAAACAAGGGAGTAGCTGGATGACCATAGTAAGATACAGTGAATGCATGCCGTACATCAGTCTAGAGACAGTACCGCACACTAAGTCTTTCGACAAGGAGACTTAGTGCCCAACTCTGTGGAACCGCCCCACAATCTGTCACAAAGAGACTGAACGATGACGGTTCTTGCACCTCCATAACCCACTGAGCCGTACCAAGAAGACTACCAGTGACACACGCTGATCCTTTCATACCCAGTTGGTCAATGGGTATGCGTATGAGTAACGATCTCTCCTGGTCCTCCATGCTGGGGGTTTAGACATGTATGGTGACTTTCTTAAAAAGGTTAGCTTTTCTGACAATCCTACACCAACCACCGCTGCCTTGCGGTTAGGCTTCCAAGTCACAGCTCTTAGTTGAGGATCCCATTGGTCTTGCTGACTAGGTCTGGGCGCCGTGACATTATCCCACCAAATGTACAAACATGAATTGCACGCTTATAACTAGTTGTATGCTTCATCGGCCATCGCGTGGTGCTATCAGCCTGATCGTCATACTAATTGCAGGGGGGAAAGGGGGTGAGCGAAAACATGCAACCGCGGATGCCTCAATTTTTCTTTTTCAGGTATTCGCTCTTTTCTCCGTCCTCGCTCAGTTTCTAAGAGCAGCTTCGTAGATGTATTCTCAAGGGATGACAAGTCCGTTCACCGCCTATTGCTGCTACCCGCAGTATTTACAGCTGACTAACCTGCCACCGCCACAGACATTTCGAAATCATCCCTCAAACCCCGATGCCAGGTGGGCCAGTGGTTGGAGCACGAATTTACTGACTGGAAGGTCCGCGATTCGAACCCGACTTCTGTCTCTCAGCTTCCCCTATCTAGGCTTGGGCAACCCGGCAGTATCCCATGCCCGTGCTTCTTTCGGGTAGCATGGCAACTAGGCACCGAAAGGGTGTTACAGCTGAACAATTTAAACCCAAACACCCAGTCCATCTCGTATGAATTAACACTCGCACTCTGAAAATTCTGGATAACAGACCGCTCTTACATGCAATCTAGACTCGCTTTCCATTGGTGTGTGCTGTCTGTCTGAAACGAAGATCCAAGACCCTTATATAGTTCCCGAACTCACCACCCGATCGGTTTCCGATCGCTTCTGGTTGTGCATCTCCAATGATCCAGAAGCCGCTGCCTCTGGTTCTGTTGCTGCCCTTCCTGCAGGTGCGTAAGATAAGCACACCGCGAAAAGACGCCACGAAGAGACTGGACCTTACCGCGGTGTACCTGCTTATGTACCCACGCGACCCATTGAGCTATTATACTGAGAGGGTGTCCACGCAACACTCGGAGAGTCTTTCATAACAGGTTGTTTAATGACTACAGGTCTGACAAACACAGTCTCCTGGTCCTCCAGGTTGAAACATGTATGGCCACGTGTTTTGTAAAAATTGGAGTGTATTTGTATTTCCCGACGAACACTGCTGCCTTACAATGAGGCTTTTGAGCCAAAAACGTTGGTTGAGGACCCTAATCGTCCTCTTGTCCATGTCAATACACCATGGCAGTATCCCAGCCCACGTACAACCATAACATTTCCAGCCAACAATACTCACATGCATCATCGGCCGTCGAGTAGTGCCATCAATTGTGTCGCCTAACTCGCTGCATACAGGGCGGGTGAGCGAAGACAGGCTACTGCTGACACCTCACTTCTTTCTCTTTCACATATTTTTCCTTCCCCATCTCCCAACCTCATCAATAACTCTCTCCCTGTGGGCCCAAAATTGAGGACTGGTGACTCTGTTCGTCCAGCATCAGTTTTGCGAGCAACACCTGCGCGTCATCCTCAGGCATCTCAGAAACAATCTTCAAGTCTCGACGCCCAGTCTCTCTGGCTGCTTTTGATATCCGCACTCCCAAGCAAGCAGGACAACAAGCTGCTCTTGGTCTCACTCTAGACACGTATGGCGTTGATGTGTGCTGTATCGCAGAAACAAGAATTCAGGATGCAAGGACAGGGGTTGAGCCAACCGCCTCATCACTGCACTCGCTTCCGGCTGCGCACCTCTGGTGATCTACAGGCTGCTGCGGTAAGATGTGCAGGCGTTGGCGTCATCCTAAGTCATTAATAACTTCAAAAATACCCGAATTTGTCTGGAAAGACGGCGTCCTCCAACGGCGTGCCGGCCACGAACTCAAATTGATCGCATTTCCATCAGTTACTGATGACGTAGATCAATAACTGATTGCTGCTCGTTTTGGGATAAATTTATGGATTCCGATCACGCGCTCGTTCAGAGTCTCTCCTCCCTTCGTTTTTCGGGGCCGCGTAAGGTGCGGACAAATCGCTTAGAAACTGAGAGACCGCCAGACCCGGATGTTAAAAGAATCAGCCAAGATCGCCTTTTCGAGTCTCTTTCAACTACTCCACCACTAGATGTGAATCCATAGTGGGACAAAATCGCCACCTCTTTGCACAGTGCTGACAGTTTTGTCTGTAGTACGGAGCTCAAGTATTGGATATCAGACCAAAGATCGGCGTTGCCTGAATCTCAGAGAAATATCCCGGCCGGTCCCGAACATAACCTAAGCCGACGAATTATCAAAATTGAAGTGAAAAGGAGCGTGCGAGCAGACCATGAGGTTTGGTGGACAGGGAAGGCTGAAGAAAGCCGGGAATGCCCGAAGATTATTTCATTTGGTCCACGTGATCGATCCCCGACAACCATTTGTGAGCGAAACTATCAAGGATCAGAATGAGGCAACCACCTTGAATAGAGAACACCCCGGCCGTTGGGCCAGATATTTTGAACGACGGTTATCGTGGTCACCAGCTGCCATTCATCTTATGTACAACCCTGGACAGTGAATGTTGAAC